TTGTATGTTAGTTTGTGTTTTGTACAACAAAGACTAATGCTTCAAGAAATACGATGTACGCTATATTAGTTTCTTAATGTATCTCTATCAGTTTTTCATTATTAAAACATGCAGACAATGACTCCTATATATAGAAGTACACTGTACATGTGCCCCTTTTTCACACCCATTGATTTGAACACATTGCTTCACCAAAAGTTGCCTATTATTGCGACTTTTCATCAAAATGCCTCTTGTATTTTGTGAAAAGTAACAATCATTTGGCTTGTTAATCCTACATAAATTATATTTTCCCCAAAGGTGCAAACCAAATGACACCTCTTTATCAAAACTCTTCTATTTTGACATTTTCTCAACAATTTGAACCTCCAAACAAGAGTCGGAGGAGGAGTTTATACATGAATCACCAATAGTTATATAAATAAAAGTAAAAATAAAGGAACCTTTACGTATGATTCTTTTTTAACCCCTATTAGAGATAATTAATGTTTCATTAGGTAAAATAGTTGATGCATTAATAACTAGCTCTTCATTTAGTGTTAAAAGATGTACCAAATTTGAATCTATCTTTTGATGAAATAAATAGATAAAATAGTTCATCATTTGTGTTAGGTTATATTTAGCTAAAGCTTTTTAGCTTCCCTTGACAACTTTGTAATTGCACATGTAATTCATCAAGCTCTAGGTTAATTAGATTAGGATAGTCTAGTTGAAGATGATTACTGTGGCTGAGATCAACAGTGGCACGATGCAATCAAGATCTTCAAAGGTAAATCTTGCATTTCATATATATATATTAGGACATATCAAGTCAATGTGATGATTAGTCATCCGTCACTGCCAACTCATTTGATTTCTCAAGTGTTACCAACTATAGGTTTTTTGTCATGATGATTTTTTTTGTCTTATTATGAAGCCAATGAGTGGCTGCCAGCTTGGAGAATTTAGGACAGACTTCTTTTTGGGTAAAAAGGGAGGCTACAACACTATAACGGTCACTTAGAGAGAGAGAGAGAGAGAGAGAGAGAGAGAGAGAGAGAGAATTTTGAGAGCATTTCTTCTCTGCTTTTCTTCCTTCTCTATGAAGTCTGGATTTTCATTATGAGATTTTGAAAAATGATTTTTAAAATCTGCTTTGATATTTGAAATCCTCTTCATTCATTCATTCATCATTTTTTATAGAGAGAAAGAGGGTCATCTTCTTATTCTCCTTTGCAAATGGTGAGACGAGTGAGGTATGAGGTTTCCAAAATGAGATTTTTAAATTGGTTTTCAAATCTGCTTTGTTCTTCAAAATCTGCATCTAGGACGGTTAAACACATTCTCATTCATATTTAGATCAGATTCTTGGATTAATTTCTTCAAGAATGGTTTCTTTAAGAAATCGATCTTTTATTCCTTGAATCTACATATTCATCGATTTGTCAATCCGGAGCTGAGTTGCAATGCCATAGGGTGAAGAAGCTGATGGACTAGCTGACATTTCCATGAAGGACAAGCTACTAACTCAACTAAGTTTGGAGAAGAAGGTTGCACATGGAAATAGTGCTCATTTCCTAAATAGACCTAGGATTGCTTGAGCTTGTGATTACTTTTTCTGTAAGAACCTTCTTGACTTAGTGGATTGCCTGGTCGGAGTGATGACCCTCGGTTTTCCCCAATGGTGGGTTTCTAGGTAAACATTTCTGGTGTGATTCTCTGATTTATATGCCTAGTCATACTGTATGTGTTATATCTGAAATGTTGATGAATTTTCACACACCTATCACTCTAGTTGTTGCTAGCACATGGGATGCCTAGATTGACGGGTCATTCTGAGTGACAAGGTTGTCTAGGCTTGCAGGGAATTGAATATTTGATATGTTGTGCATCTGTGTTATGCTTATATATTCATAGGTCTATGACTAGTTGTTGATCTCCATGTTTATTTGATCATTGTTGTCATACATCTGTCCATTGGGGTTTTAATTTAGGGAGATTCACTATTATACCCAATATAGGAGCCCAAATTATAAATAAATAAATAAAAACCATATATTAAATGGACTTTAGAAACACACCTAAAGCCCATTTACAGCATAACAAAGAGACTTTTTACTTCTTATAAATTACAAAACTGCCATTAATTTATTAAAATAAGCCCAACCCCAAAACCTCATAAAAAAAACCAAAAACACTCAATGGGCATCAAAGTAATTTAATAATCAAAATTAAATTCAATAGGGCTAGCTGTCATTATTTGGGTTTTTTTTATATAGTTTATTTATAGAAATTAAATGGTGTAGGGTTTATCTATATCATTAATGGGTATATTTTTGCTCACCACTTTAACCCAAGGTATACCCTCACCACCCTTCTCAACACTTGACACATGTCCCTTGGGATAACCATAGTTAACTCTTTACTTTGTATTTATGCAACCATTGTTATGTCAATAAACACGTGTCAAATGTTGATAAATGTGGTAAGGGTACACATTAGGTTAAAGTGGTGAGCAAAAATGTTCCCTATCATTAATGCTAAGAATGGGTATCTGACTAAATATCTCTTTAATTTACCCCCTTCACCTAAGTAACAATTTCAAGTTGCAACTAAAAGTTGAATATGTTAGATTGGATGGATTCCTAGGAAATGGAGAGAGGAGACAAATCTACATACATGATTGATTATAGATTAGATTCCCTTATGTTATTAAATGTATATTAAACCAGAGAATAGCTAATTAAATATACATGTGGGTGGCTAGACAATAATATTTAACTACTTCCTCCCACTTATATATACATATAGCACTCTCTATAGCAGCAAAATCATAAAAATACTGATATCAAACACTTAGGGGGGTGTATTCAATTGAGATTTTAAAAGACTATTTATGGATAAATAAGTCCAGTGGATTTTAAAAGACTATTTAGGAACATAATGACTTGGAAGAACTTTTTAAAAGATTTTTTATATTTAGGATTTTTTATGTTTGGATTTTAAAGTTTTATATCATAAGAATTTATAAGATTTGGAAGGACCAGATGGATTTTTTATTTGTATGATGCTAACTAATGAGATTGGATTTTCTGCTCATCCTTACATAAAACGATGTCATTGTTTCACTTTATTATAGGAGATGACTTTAGAAGAGTATGAGAAGGTGCTTGAAGAGAAGAGGAAGGCTCTGCTTACATTGAAGACTGAGGAAAGAAATGTTGATTTGGACAAAGACTTGAAGTCCATGCAGCAACTTTCAAACAAGAAGGAAAACAATGACATCTTTATCAAACTGGTGAGTCCTGACACAGTCGGATGATGAGCAAGGTTACTAGGCTGCAGACACTTGGTTCAAACAATGGAATGGAGCCATAATAAAAAAGCCAATAAAAGTCAATTGCTTAAAGTTGTGGGCACTTGCATCAACGATAATAGATACGAGATCAAATGGAATGGAACAATAAATAAAAGCAAACATTCAAAGTTACAAGAGTCAATGAAAAAGATAACAAAGAAAGACAA